GTTGGAGAGCAAGTTTCAGAGTCTCTTCTGACATCCATCTTGACCTTTTCCTTCTTTCTTGTCTTCTTAATGCCTTTTTGCTCTCTTCATGTATGATGTTCTTGATGTCATCCCACAGCTCTTCTGGTCTTCGATCTTTAGTGTTTAATTCATCAAATCTGTTCTTCAGATGATCTGCACATAAATAGAAGGATGGATGAAACAAAATGTGGTACATACATACAAATGGAATACTATTTAGCCAGAAAGAGAAAGTCCTGATACAAGCTACAATATGGATGGTAACTGAAAGGTATTATGTTGTGAAATAAGTCAATCACAAAAGTACAACTATTTACATGATCTCATTTATCTAAAGATATAAGAAAAGGCAAATGTGTTGGCACTAAAGTTTATTAGTGGTTACCAGAGGCAGGAGGGAGAAGGTAAGGGTGATGGAAATATCACATTGATTAAAGGTAAGGTTGCACAGAAGATTATTGAAATTGCTATCAATAAGATGTACACCTATAAAAAGATGAATTGACAAGCATATGGTAGCTCTGTATACAACAATAACAGCAACAAAAACAGAGTAGCTGCTGGTGAGGCTGCTTATGTGCAACCGAAAACCTTGTGGGATTTGGTTCATTGAAAGTTTATAGAGTCATGTTTTTTTGGAGGCATCCTAGTTAACTGGCATAATACTACATTTAGTGTTTCTGTTCTGCCTTCTAGTTTGTTGTGTTGTGCCTGGGGTCTTAGAAGTTTGCAGGTGGCCATCCAAGACACAATAATTGGTCTCTGTTCACCTGCAACAACAGAGGAAAAAGGAGAGCCAGGAATTGTAGGATATCCTGACTCTTCTTTGTGGGGAAATGCTGAACAGAATTCCACATTCTCATAGACTCCAGACAGAGCCATGAAGGTTAGATGAACCCCTCAAGTGATGGCTCTAAAGTAATCTGCAAACCTTAAACCAGAACCTCCCTGAAATCATTTTAAAACTGAACAGTAGTTTAGTTTTAGTGGTAAAAAGCCCAAAGTAGAAAGATTAGGTGAAAACCTGTGGGCAGTGAATTTATGTTAATGGGGGAGTGACAACCTAGAAAAAGACAGTAAGAATGGTTGTACAACTCGAAGACTAAATAATGTCACTAAATTGTACATGTAGAAACTGTTGAATTGGTTTGTATTTTGCTATCTATATTCTCAACAACAACTAAATACTATGTTTTTAAAAGATTTCAGTGAGTAATATTGGGTTTCCTGGGAACATTTAGTCAGTTCTCTTGAGCCATCTTTAGTAGTTCTTTTCACATACTTTTTCTGAAGTAGAATATACCTGAAAAAGATGTAAGGAGCTGATTGTGAGCTGATCAACAATATATATACTCAAAGTAGCTATTCATTTATAACTCAATTACCATACAGTTAAATCAGTGGGCTTTTTTTTCTTTTTAAAGTTTTTATTGTCAATTGAGTGATAGTTTAC